GTGAAAGAAGCCAGGCATAGAACACCACATATTATAGCATTCTATTTACATGAAATAGCTAGAGTAGGTAAAGCTACGAAGACAGAAAGTAGAGATTACTTGTGGGATGGGTTAGGGAGAAAAAATTTGTGACTGCTAATGGGTGTGGGGATTGGGAGGAGAATGGAGGAAATGTTCTAAAATTGATTGTGGTAATGGTACAAGAAACACCTGGAGTAACAGGCAAATTCGGCCTTGGAGTACAGAATGAAGCAGGGCAAAGGCTAATAGACTTTTGCCAAGAGAACGCACTGGTCATAGCAAACACCCTCTTCCAACAACACAAGAGAAGACTACACATGGACATCACCAGATGGCCAACACCAAAATCAGATTGATTATATTCTTTGCAGCCAAAGATGGAGAAGCTCTATACAGTCAGCAAAAACAAGACCGGGAGCTGACTGTGCCTCAGATCATGAAGCCCTTATAGCCAAATTCAAACTTAAATTGAAGAAAGTGGGGAAAACCACTAGACCATTCAGGTATGACCTATATCAAATCCTATATCAAATGGAAGTGAGAAATAGATTTAAGGGACTAGATCCGATAGAACGCCTGATGAACTATGGACGGAGGTTCGTGACATTGTACAGGAGACAGGAATCAAGACCATCCCCAAGAAAAAGAAATGCAAAAAAGCAAAATGGCTCTCTGAGGAGGCCTTACAAATATCTGTGAAAAGAAGAGAAGTGAAAAGCAAAGGAGAAAAGGAAAGATATACCCATTGTATGCAGAGTTCCAAAGAATATCAAGGAGAGATAAGAAAGCCTTCCTCAGTGATCAATGCAAAGAAATAGAGGAAAACAATAGAATGGAAAGACTAGAGATCTCTTCAAGAAAATCAAAGATACCAAGGGAACATTTCATGCAAAGATGGGCTCAATAAAGGACAGAAATGGTATGGACCTAACAGAAGCAGAAGATATTAAGAAGAGGTGGCAAGAATACACAGAAGAACTGTACAAAAAAGATCTTCATGACCCAGATAATCACAATGGTGTGATCACTCACCTAGAGCCAGACATGCTGTAATGTGAAGTCAAGTGGTCCTTAGGAAGCATCACTACAAACAAAGCTAGTGGAGGTGTTGGAATTCCAGTTGAGCTATTTCAAATCCTAAAAGATGATGCTATGAAAGTGCTGCACTCAATATGTCAGCAAATTTGGAAAACTCAGCAGTGGTCACAGGACTGGAAAAGGTCAGTTTTCATTCTAATCCCAAAGAAAGGCAATCCCAAAGAATGCTCAAACTACCGCACAATTGCATTCATCTCATACGCTAGTAATGCTCAAAATTCTCCAAGCCAGGCTTCAGCAATATGTGAACTATTAACTTCCAGATGTTCAAGTTAGTTTTAGAAAAGGCAGAGGAACCACAGATCAAATTGCCAACATCCACTGGATCATCAAAAACACAAGAGAGTTCCAGAAAAACATATATTTCTGCTTTATTGACTATTCGAAAGCCTTTGATTGTGTGGATCACAATAAACTGTCAAAAATTCTCCAAGAGATGGGAATACCAGACCACCTGACCTGCCTCTTGAGAAACCTATATGCAGGTCAGGAAGCAACAGTTACAACTGGACATGGAACAACAGACTGGTTCCAAATAGGAAAAGGAGTACGTCAAGGCTGTATATTGTCACCTGCTTATTTAACTTATATGCAGAGTACATCATGAGAAACGCTGGGCTGGATGAAGCACCAGCTAGAATCAAGATTACTGGGAGAAATATCAATAATCTCAGATATGCAGATGACACCACCCTTAGGGCAGAAAGTGAAGAACTAAAGGGCCTCTTGATGAAAGTGAAAGAGGAGAGTGAAAAAGTTGGCTTAAAGCTTAACATTCAGAATACTAAGATCATGCCATCCGGTCCCATAACTTCATGACAAATAGATGGGGAAACAGTGGCTGACTTTATCTTGGGGGGGCCCCAAAATCACTGCAGATGGTGATTGCAGCCATGAAATTAAAAGATGCTTACTCCTTGGAAGGAAAGTTATGACCAACCTAGACAGCATATTGAAAAGCAGAGACATTACTTTGCCATCAAAGTTCCATCTAGTCAAGGCTATGGTTTTTCCAGTAGCCATGTATGGATGTGAGAGTTGGACTGTGAGGAAAGCTGAGCGCCAAAGAATTGATGCTTTTGAACTGTGGTGTTGGAAAAGACTCGAGAGTCCCTTGGACTGCAAGGAGATCCAGCCAGTCCATCCTAAAGGAGATCAGTCCTGGGTGTTCATTGGAAGGACTGATGTTGAAGCTGAAACTCCAATACTTTGGCCACTTGATGCAAAGAGCTGACTCATTTGAAAAGACCCTGATGCTGGGAAAGATTGAGGGCAGGAGGAGAAGGGGATGACAGAGGATGAGATGGTTGGATGACATCACTGACTCAATGGACATGAGTTTGGGTAAACTCCGGAAGTTGGTGATGGACAGGGAGGCCTTGTGTGCTGTGGTCCATGGGGTCGCAAAGAGTTGGACACGACTGAGTGACTGAACTGAACTGAAGCTCTTGTTGTTAACGTCATTTGCAAATGTCTTCTCCCAGTTTATAGGTTGTCTTTTTGTTTTATTTATGATTTTGTTTGCTGTGCAAAAGCTTGTAAGTTTGATTAGGTCCCATTTGTTTATTTTTGCTTTTATTTCTGTTACCTTGGGAGACTAACCTAAGAAAATACTGGTACAATTTATGTCGGAGAATGTTTGCCTATATTCTCTTCTAGGAGCATCATGTCTTATTTAAGTCTCTCACCCATTTTGAGTTTATTTTTGTATATGGTGTGAGGGTGTGTTCAAATTTAATTTGGATTCAGCTGTTCAACTTTCCCAGCACTACTTGCTAAAGGGGTTGTCTTTTTCCCATTTTATATTCTTGCCTTCTTTGTCAAGATTTATTGACCATAGGTGTGTGGGTTTACTTCTGGGCTATCTATTCTCTTCCATTGATCCATATGTCTGTTTTTGTGCCAGTACCACACTGTTTTGATTACTATAGCTTTGTAGTATTGTCTAAAAGTCTGGTAAAATTATGCCTCCTGCTTTGTTCTTTTCCCTTAGGATTGCTTTGGCAAATCTGGGCTTTTTATGGTTCTGTATAGATAATTTTTGGATTATCTGTTCTGATTCTTTGAAAAATGTCGTGGGTAGTTTGATAGGGATCATATTAAATCCGTAGATTGTTTTGTGTAGTATTGCCATTTTAACAATATTAATTCTTCCAATCCAAGAGTATGGGATATCTTTCTATTTCTTTGAATCATCTTCAGTTTCTTTTATTAATGTTTTGTTTTTCTCAGTATATAAGAATATGGGAGTGGATAGTTATTCCCTTCTTCAGGGGATCTTCCCAACCTAGGGCGCGAACCCAGGTCTCCCACATTGCAGGTGGATTCTTTACTGTCTGAGCCACCAGGGAAAGGCCAATAGATTTCGGGATTATCAGTTCTGGTTCTGTGAAAACTTTCACAGGTAATTTGATAGAGATCACATTAAATCTGTAGATTACGTTGGGTAGTATAGCCTTTTTAACAATATTAATTCTTCCAACCCAAGAGCATGGGATATCTTTCTATTTCTTTGAATCATCTTCAGTTTCCTTTATTAATGTTTTATAGTTCTCAGTGTATAAGTCTTTCACCTCCTTGGTGGGGTTTATTCCTAAGTATTGTGTTTTACTGTTTTGATGTCATTTTAAAAGGGCTGGTTTTTTACATTCTCTTTCTGATATTTCTGATATTTCATTGTTAGTGTGTAAAGAAATTACAGAATATATTATATTCCTTATAGTCTTTTACTTTTGTTTTATCAGCTACTACTGTTTGTTCACCTTGACCTTGAAATATCTCCTTAAGTATGATTTACTGCTCTCAGATGTTATTTTTATGTAGAATTCTCATTTTGATTATGATTCATTTGAACATATCCATTTCCAGCTATTTCCAAATTAAATTCAATCTTCATTTTTTTCTTATATCAAAATCAGCATATATATGCATGTGCCTCAGTAAGAGAGAAATAAAGGCAGATTTTATCTTGTTAGTATAGGAACTGCTAAAGTCTTTGAAGCCTGTGCATTATTAGTTAAGTGAGAGGGCGCTCTGATGAACCATCAGCTCCAAACTCATGAATGTTTGAGGGAAGGGGACAGGCAGACTCGACATTGGGGCCTTATGGAGACAAGTGTCAGTTGAAGAGCACGTGTCTCAGCAGGAGCCGGCAGCCTCCACTCACAGCCAGGATCATCATCATGTCGGAATCCAGGCCTAGTTTTGCCAGATCTAATGATTTTTCAAAAAAAGCCAAAAATCTGAATTTTTATGTAACACCGCCCCTCAAATTATTAAATTGGCTCATTTTTTTAAACACTAAGAGATTTAAAAAAACATCTTCAGGCTAAATATAGCCCTCAGACTGCCAAATTGCAGCTTCTGTTATTATGATACTTAGCAGCAGCAAGAGAAACCTATTTTTCCACATTTGTTACATGTTCTTAGGTGAGCTGGTGAAAAAACTATTCTAGTAACTCATTAGGAAACAGATATTATTGACTATATAAAATAACATAAAATTCTACATCAGTAGTTACCCTGTATGTTTTCAATGTGTTTTGGGAAATCCGCCACATTCCTCGTATACCACACCATAACTGTTAAGTCTATGAAGGTAGGCTTCCCCGTTTGTTGGTCCTCTATCCGCTACAGCACACTACAGAAAAAGAGCAATACAAAAGAAGTTTCAACATCTTCATTTTTCAACCCCCAGTGGTTTAAGCCAGAGGGTTCTTTTGGAGCGAAAATACTATGTCTTTCCTTTCTCAGAGTTGCTGAGAAATTATAATTAGAGGTTTTCCTGTTGTGTTAAGGAAAGGAATTCCAGTCCTGCATCTACAAGACTTTTTGTTCTCAACAAATTTGCTTTCTTCCCTGTTCTGTTTCTCTCTCTGCAGGTAATAGAGGGAAAGCTGGCTCCATTCTTGGGCAAGGTCATTAAATTTGCCACCTCCCACGTGTACAGCTGCAGTCTTTGTAGCCAGAAGGGGTTCATCTGTGAAATCTGTAACAATGGAGAGATCCTCTACCCTTTTGAGGACATTTCAACAAGCAGGTACAGAATCTCTTGTCTTATAACAGTATACCTGGATATGTCACATGCAGTGTTATTGGGCCCAATCGGGCCAACCTTTAGTCAGGTACTGTGACTCTGTCTCTGCCTCTGCATCAGATTTCCCGTTTTCCTGGAGAATATTATTTACCCTTTGGTTTCCTACATTTATTTCCAACTCACCTTGCTACCTTTATCCAGAATGATAAAACAAAGTTGCAAAAAAACCATAGTCTAGATCTGCCTTGTTTGGTAACAAAGAGTATTCAGCTTCATTTTTTAGAATAAAGATGGCAGTGGAAGAATTCTCACAACCATCCCAGGGTCAAGTGATAGGCTATGGAAATCGTAGCCTCAGAGGAAGACCCACACTGGATGGATGACTAGGAAGAAAACCAGAGGACAAGGCTAAACAGCTGTCTGGCGCACCACATGCTCTTCTCTATAGATGCACTACAGTCTAGTGATGAAAGGTTTAGGATCCAAAGGAGAGAAAAGTGGGAGTCCATGTGGGATTATTTTTCTAACCAAAGTAATATTTGGGTATCATCACTTCCATTGATTGATGGATGATTTTTTTCCCCCTGACTTAAGAGCAGGGTTTTTTCTGTTGCCTGTTTCTTGCATCATAAAATGATACATATCACTTTTCCTTTTATTCCAAAAGTGTAAGAGGAATATACATTGTTTGTGCATAAGTGCATTGGCTTCTCTGGGCATGAATGTCATGGCTCATTTCCCACCCTGCTGGGCTCACTTACTCTGTGGTTCAGAATAGAAGGTGAGGCATGTAGCCGGGGAGAGTTGAAGCTTGTGTGGTACAGCTAAGATATTAAGAGTCCACTCAGCCCTTCTGGCCTCTTCTTAAACCCAAAGACTATTTGTAAATTTCTAGGTCCCACACATGGAAAGACAGACACATAAACATAAGATTCCCTACACACACACCGAGGAAACCAGATCTGAAAGAGACACATGCACCCCAATGTTCATCGCAGCACTGTTTATAATAGCCAGGACATGGAAGCAACCTAGATGCCCATCAGCAGATGAATGGATGAGGAAGCTGTGGTACATATACACCATGGAATATTACTCAGCCATTAAAAAGAATTCATTTGAATCAGTTCTAATGAGATGGATGAAACTGGAGCCCATTATACAGAGTGAAGTAAGCCAGAAAGATAAAGACCATTACAGTATACTAACACATATATATGGAATTTAGAAAGATGGTAACAATAACCCTATATGCAAAACAGAAAAAGAGACTCTGATGTATAGAACAGACCTGTGGACTCTGGGAGAAGGCGAGGGTGGGATGTTTCAAGAGAACAGCATCGAAATATGTATATTATCTAGGGTGAAACAGATCACCAGCCCAGGTTGGGTGCATGAGACAAGTGCTCGGGCCTGGTGCACTGGGAAGACCCAGAGGGATCGGGTGGAGAGGGAGGTGGGAGGGGGGACCGGGATGGGGAATACATGTAAATCCATGGCTAATTCATTTCAATGTATGACAAAAACCACTGCAATGATGTAAAGTAATTAGCCTCCAACTAATAAAAAAAAAAAAATTAAAATAAAAAAATTTAAAAAAAAAAAGAAAGGTGAGTGCTGAAGTGGAATGCATAAGGCAGAGTGTCACAATTTGGGGAAAAAAGAAAATAAAACAAATTTAGAAAAAAAATAAAAAATAAAATAAAAATTTTAAAGAGCATTAAGTTCACCATTTTAATGTATCAATTTTTAAGATAATTTTTGTAAGTCTTTATTGAATTTGTTACAATATGGCCTCTGTTCTATGTTTTGGTTTTTTTGGCTGTGAGGCATGCAGAATCTTAGTTCCTCAACCAGGGATTGAACCTGCAACCCCTGCATTGGAAGGTGAAGTTTTAAACACTGCCAGGGACATCCCTAAAATATTTTTAAATGAATGAAAATGAAATACAAAATATCAAAATGTGTGGAATGCAGTTTAAGTAGTTCTTTGAGTGAAATTTATAGCTATAAACACCTATATCAGAAAAGAGGAAAGAAGTTCTCAAATTAATAACCTAAAATTCCTCTTTAAGAAACTTACAAAAAGCAAAGTAAATCCAAAGCAACCAGGAGGAAAGAAAGAATTAAAATTAGAGAAGATATCAATGAAATAAAAAGCAATAAGTCAATGAAACCACACATTGGTTCTTTGAAAAGATTAACAAACTTGATAGCCTTTTAGGTAGGCTGACCAAAAAATTAAGAGAGAAGATACAGATTGCCAGTATCAAGAAAGAAAAAGGGTATAGCAATTAAAAGAATTTTTAACAGGCAGTATAAACAACTTCATGCCAACAAGTTAGACAACTTAGATTAAATGGATAAATTTCTAGAAAGACAAAGTAACAAAACTGACTCAAGAAGAAATAGAAATATGAATAGGCCTTCAACAAGAAATTGAAATAGTAATTTTTAAATCTTCCCATGAAGAAGTCAGATGGCTTCACTGGTGAATTTTGTTGAATATTTGAAGAAATAACACAAATTCTTTACACTATGATAAAGAGAGGCATTATATAACAATAACTGGATCAGTTCTTTGAAAAAAAAATAACAGTCTTTAATGTGTTATGAACAGAGAGTCAAAAATTCATGAGGCAAAAACCAACAACTGCATGGAAAACAGATGAATCCACAATTATATTTAAGTATATCCATTATTATAGTTGGGCTTCCCTGGTGTCTGCAATGCGGGAGACCCTGGGTCGGGAAGATACCCTGGAGAAGAGAATGGCAACCCACTCCAATATTCTTGCCTAGGAAACCCCATGGACAGAGGAGCCTGGTGGGCTGCAGTCCCTGGGGAAACAAAGAATCAGACACAACTGAGCAAATAATAATTATTATAGCTAGAGACTTCAGCACCCTTTTGTCAGTAACTGACAGATCCCATAGGCAGAAAATCAGTGAACGTATAGTTAAATTGAAAAGCACTATCAACCAACTGAATATAATGGACATCTATGTCAATTCATGTGGTCCATCCAAAAACAGAATATACATTCTTCTCAAGCTCACATGGAATATTTACTAAGAGAGAGACCACATTCTGGGCCATAAAACACATCTGGACAAATTTTAAAGAATAGAATTTATGTGAAGTATGGTCTCTCACCATAATGAAATTAAACTATAATCAATAATAGAAAGATACTTTCCAAATACCCAAATATTTGAAAATTAACAGTATACCTTTAAATAATATGAGTTTATAACTTATGTCCACTTAAAAATCTACATGTGGGTGTTTATAGCAGCTTTATTCCTAATTGCCCCAAATTGGAAACAACCCAGTGTATGGGTAAGGAAACTGTAGTATATCCATATAGTGCAGTGTTATTCAGGGATAAAGGAAATGAGCTATTATGCCACAAAAGGACGTGGAGGAAACTTAAGTGCATATTATTGAGCGAAAGAAGCCAATCTGAAAAAGTTACTTACTATATGATTCCAAGTATGTGACATTCCGAAAAAGGCAAAACTATACAGACGGTAAGAAAATCAATGATTACCAGGGTCTTCTCTGAGAGAGGGTAGGGAGGAATGAATGGGTGAACCACAGGAAGTTTGGGGGCAATGAGATTATATGATTCTGTAATAGTGCATGCATGACATTATACATTTGTCAGAACTCATAGAACCGTACAACACAGAATAACTCTTTAAACTGTGGACTTCAGTTAATAACATACCAATATTGGTTCATTAATTGTAACAAACTGCTACACTAATGCAAGATGTTGATAATCGGGAAAACTGGAGGCTAGTCATAATATGGGAACTCTGTACTACCTACTCAGTTTTCCTGTAAGTCTACAACTGTCCGTAAAAATGTTGTTTCTGTTTAGTTGCTAAGTTGTACCCAACTCTTTGGAACCTTGTGTACTATATAGCCTTCCAGGTTTCTCTGTCCATGGGATTTCCCAGGCAAACACCAGAGTGGGTTGCCATTTCCTTCTCTAGGGTATCTTCCCGACCCAAGGATCAAACCCACATCTCCTGTGTTAGCAGGTGGATTCTTTACTGGGGAGCCACCAGGGAAGCCCTATCCTGAAATATAAAACTTGTTAAAACAGTTCAATCAGCAGAACATTTGGCTCAAAGATCAAAGCTGAAAAGTTTTAATAAACTTTATTAGAACAACTTTAGATCTACAGAAAAACCACAAAGATAATACAGAAAATTCCTTTGTATTCCAGTTTTCACTATTAACATCTTACGTTAGTATGGTACATTTGTTACAGTTCATGAACCAATATTGATACACAATTATTAGCTAAAATCCATAGTGGTTTTTTTTTTTTTCTGATTTCCTTAGTTTCTACCTAGTCATCTTTTCTGTTCCAGAATGTCACATGACGTTTAATTGCTTCATCGTTCTCTGCTCCGTGGTGGTACCAATCTTTCAGACTTTGTTTTCATGGCCTTGACAGTTTTGCAGGGTACTGGTCAGGTATTTTGTACAGTCCTTCTATTGGGACACACTTGTCTTTCTTATGATTATACCAGGTTCTATGGGTTTGGGAGGAAGAACAAAGAGGTAGTATCATTTTCATCGTGATTTTCATCATGATGTCATATCATGGGTACATACTGTGAACGGGACTGATCACTGTAGCCTTGTGTCTTCACTTCCGAGTTACTCATCCCCCCACCCACTCCCATCACCTTTTTATACTTTCCTTCTGGAAGTCAGTATGTTCGACCCACACTTAAGCAGTGGGGACTTATATGAGTGCAATATGTACAAAGTCAGTTGGAATTCTTCTGCCCAAGAGATTTGTTTCTTCTTTCCCATTTATTTTTTCAATTATTCATTCATATCAGTATGGACTCATGCATATTTATTTTATGTGTGTGTGTTAGTCCCTCAGTCGTGTCTGACTCTTTGTGACCCCATGGACTGTAGCCCACCAGGCTTCTCTGCCCATGGAATTCTCCAGGCAAGAATACTAGAGTAG